CTGCACAGCCCTGACTGGTGTACAGGCCGAATGCTAATATACTGTACATAACACAGATAAAAATAAAATCTTGGTTATCTGTTTCTGCTTTGAGCAATGAAATAAGTAGTCAAGTGCCATGAATATAACATCATACATGCAGACTGAATGTTTTTTAGATATTTTGGTCTGACCAGTTTTTGACAAAACTACCCAGAAATCCTTTTTTGACTCCTCAAAACTCCTCCCACAGAAACTGTACATGATTAATGGAAACCATGTAGAGCACCCAGTGTACCAACCCCACGAGTATGCCTACGAGGGACAGGAAAGCGAATGCCTGTCACTGGATCAGATGTCACTCAGCAACCTGGGAGATGATTTGAAGTTTCTGAATGATTTGGGGCCAAAGTTCAAGACCTTGGGAGGCATCTGTCACCAGACAATTCAAGAAAAAAAGATAGAGCTTTAAAGGGTACAGCTGAACTAGGATTTTTTTTTTTTTTTATCAGCAAAGTTGTTCTTAGATAGACCACAATGTTTGGATTTTGTACTTGTGCATTTCAGACTCAAACACCTCACTTATTTTAGAGATGTTATTCTATATCTGATATCTATCCACACAATGAGGATCATATTGTAGAGGTTGCACAAGATGGAATTAATGCACTCCACAAATGCTCTGGTGATTGTGAAATGTTATGTTGTGACTGGGTGTGTTTGCTTGGCTTTTAACTTGTTTACTTTAGGTGTGGTTGCTGCTACATTGCAATGCACATCATTTTTAACACTGGAGGTTTTGTCATTGCAGTGTTATTGTGATGTTTTAAACTGTACGTTTATCTGTGGCAACCGGAATATTTCATATTATACACAATGTTGTGTATAACCCTTTTGTAAAAAAGCATTCATAAGGACCAGCAGAAAGCTGACTGGTTGAAATCAATATTGGTCAACAGTAATTGTTCAGTGGTATGGTTACTAAACTGAGGTACCATAAATGTTTGTTGCCCGTAGTTAATGATCTGGTTATACAGTAGTATGGAATTAACACTATGTTTGTATTGCTTTTTCTTGTGTGTTTTTTTTAATCTTAAACATGAACTCTTTTATAAAATACATTAGTATTTGGAGAGAAATTAGCATTTGCCATTACTAAAAGATATGTTGGTACATAGCAACCTTTGGGTTGAAATCTTTTTACCTGTGGGGTGGGTATTATTTATTAAAGCAACTATATTAAAAAGTAATTATACCAAACTAACAACATACTGTACCACTATACATACGACATATAATATAAATTTGGTCTGAAAAACTATAAAAAAAACTTCGTATTCATTAATTTATACTTGCATGTTACTTGTCTTACCTAAAGACTATGACATTAATTGTAGGAGATGAAGAAGTTGTTGATGAGGGAGTGGTGGCAGAAAAACTCTCACACAGCTTGTCAAAAGGGCAGTGAGTTGAGTTGACTGTGCTGACACCCTGAACATAATTCCAGTGACAATCCCACCCAACATAGTGTAGCGTTCTTGAGAAGTGTTTTTAAAACCAATGACACCAGCTGTCTATTGTTTTGGCATAGGTGTCATTTACACTGGGGACACATGGGGACATGTCCCCACCACTTTTTGAAATGGCTGATTTTGTCCCCACCACTTTTTGAAAGCATTTAATAAAAAAATTTTGAAAATTAGCTTGCAACAAGAAATGTTAAATAACAAATAAAAATTCTATGAGAAAGGTTTACTTGCACAATAGGAAAAAAAAGAAAATGCAATGTAAATATAGAAGAAAACAGATCTGCCTTGTCCCAAAAAAATAACTGGTGAACTAAAACAAGCTGATTACTGCATCATATTTAATAATAATTTTGTAATCGGAATTGTCACCGACTACATGAATTTTGTTTCCCTTCGTGTAAATAAGAGACATTTCCACCATAAATTGGTGCAGAAAATGTCTCCAGAATACAGGAAATCAAGAGTTTAATGCTGAAGATCTTCTGGGGGAGGACCTAGAAGACCCTCGTTATGAATACACTTTAGTCACAATTTAGAATAATAGCTTATAGCAATGTTTAAAGTTATATTTATAATTATAGTGAAGTGGTTGTCTTTAATTGTCCACTGCATCTGTTAGGGCCTGTCCATAGGCATGTAATTATGTTGAAAATGTTCAAAATTCATACAGATTGTTCATAAAGTGAAGAAACATAAATAAAAGATGTTTTCCTGCGCAAACTTCACTTTACTTAAAGCAAACAATAACATGTTATAAGGTCTTATAATTAGTTCATATGGTATTATGTCCACCTGTAATATATTATACAGGGATAAATATTTTAACACTTTACTTAAAGCAAACAAAGACATGCTATATAACTTTAAACATTACTATAAGCTATTATTCCATTTTATATCACTAATTGTAAATGGTGACTAAAGCGTATTCATAACGAGGCAGAGTCGGTGGTTATAATGTACTATGGAACATGGTCGGAGATTCTTGCCGCACATTGTTATAAACTGGTATTAATATTAGTTATGAAACATTAAATCAAAAGGTCATAATACATTATGAACTTCGCTATAGAGCCTAATGCATGTTTGTAAGTGATTATAACAACTGTTATAATGTCTTATGGACGCATTATATCCTGTTAAATATATACATAAGTCATTATCGCAATGACCTTCATAGAAAGTGTTACCAATATTTCTTCAAAATACCATTGAAATATCTTGTTGTCTTCTTCTCGTGACTTCAATATTGTGCATTCTCACATCTGGTGGACTGAGTGTTTCTTCACATCCCTAATATGAGCCCTTAAATGTCTCCACCACTTTTCAACACAAAGTGACATCTTTGTGTTTTGGTACTGTATAAACACCACAGGCCTACTGTTTATGATGGTTTTGTCATGACCTGTTCTTATCTTCAACTCCCTGTATGCTGCCAAAGCTACCCTGTGGGATTTGTCAGTTTATCATGTCATGACATTCACATTTTTACATTTTTATTCATTTAGCTGAAGGCATGTGTCTTATCCATTGTACCATCAGCACCCACATACGCGGTAGATCTGGTTTTTTAATTAATGGTGCGGCACAAAGAGTAACATGCAAATCTGAGACTCAGACCCAAACTCGTTTGACCCACATGCATAACCCATAAACAAACTGAAGATATGTAAAGCATGTTTTTTACTTATGTTCAATTTCAGAACAATAAGACAAAAGAAGACATGAAAAGTTCTGGTACTTCCGGCTACAGCAGGAAATGTCAAATTTATGCAAACACCAAATACACACATTATAAAGACTGATGAACACCAAAACACGCAGTGGAGCATAAAAGTAAGTCAAAGTCTTCCCCTCATTAACCATGGAAATAACAAGTTTGAGTTGAATCTCATCAATACAAGGTATGGTCATTATTAGAGATTACAGATTACAGATTGGTGTTATAATGACATTTGTAGTTTGCAATCAGAGCTTTAACCCAAAATAACACCTCTCTTTCTTCATAAAGGAAGTACTGCTCCATACTACAGTCTACAATGCTTAATTTCCCATAAACTGGACAGCAAGACCCTCAGTGATATAGCATGGAGGTTATGAATGTTTCATTCTGGGTTTTGTCCAATTACAGTTATCTTCTTTCTTGAGAAGTGATTTCATCAGGACTGTTGCTGGTTCTGTAGCTGCCTTGCATCACTGTACACACCACCACCCTAACCCTCCCAGACACATCATCCTATGTTTCTTTGTATTTCTGTGGTAGTCATCCAAGCGTTCAGTATGATTAAAATAACAAATGCATTCCCACACTCTAGCTAAACCAGATTTCAGCAAAGTAGACTTTGTTGAAGAAGCTTCGTTTTACCATTGTCACAAACTTCTAATCTCAGAGTCTGACATTAACTCTATTACTTCGGTGGCGAATTGCTTAAGACACATACAAACCTTTTTTAAACGAAAGAGATAAACTAAACTAACAAAATTTTGTTGATGAACTGGACATAAGAAATACAAGCAAGCAACCATCAACAACACACATTATTTGGACTGATTAACACCAAAAGACACAAGGCAGCATGAAATATTGCATCTCAAAGTTATTACTAAAACACTTTGTGGCTGAAATGAAATGTGTAGTTTGTAACATGACTGTTAATCTAATACATCTTACAAAGAAAGTGTTGTGCCAAACCGTACAATAAAATGAAGCAGTTACAAAGAGGAAATAACCAATTCTGAGGCCTTACAATTCTGCCAGATCTGCCTTAAAGGCAAGTCTGATCAAGTTTATTTGTTACCAGGAAATCATGTGCATCTCTCAATTGGTTCCATAGAAACACAACAGCAACTAGTCCCAATGCAACACAGGTTCACTACACTATAAGTGAACTGTGACGTAATGATTAAGTAAAAAACTTTTTAAAAAGAATATCTCTCTCTCACAAACACACACAAACAAGGCTGAACATAGAACATGCTGTACCCACAGGAGGCTGGTTATGGTCTTTGGAATAGAGGTTTATTGTGACCCACAGTGTTTACATATTATGTAATAATAATCTGATGTAATTAATATAATCATGCAATTGTTTAGTGCAGGTCATTCAGACCAAAGCAAGAGTCAGTGACATAACTGGCTCTAACTCTGTCCTGGTTGTCTTATCTTGGTAGGTGGCATTATGAAAAACTGGGAAAATAGTGTAAAATATTTCATTGAGCTTTTAAAAGTATTATTTTTAAAGCTTAACATATCAATGTATGTTTTATTCATTTATTTGATATTATACATAATAGCCAGTATGGAGACCAACCCCTACCCCTTCATACCCCTTCTGCTATGAAGCAGCTGCTATGAAGTTTTCCTCACTTCCAGGCTGAACATGTAAAGTTGCTGTGAAATAAATTTATTATGACACAGGCCCTCCCACTCACAGGTAAACTGAAACTATGAACAGGCCCTCCCATTCACAGGTATACTGCAGCTATGAACAGGCCCTCCCATTCACAGGTATACTGCAGCTATGACACAGACCCTCCCATTCACAGGTATACAGTGAATACTTTATTGTCAAAGGGACAACACATAATCTGGATATGCTATGGAGACAATACGCCTCAGTCTTTTCGTGATGCTGGTAAGAATTTTACTTAAGTTGCGGCAAAAAATATTTTAGACAATGCTTACTTTATTCTGATCTTGCTTCTGCTTTAGAATCCAACCACTACAAACCATGTTTTAATCCAACTCATTCTAGCAACATGGGGGCTTTACGGCTTTATTATTTTAGGCAAGGAAAGGTATAGAACATTTCATACACCACGGCAATTCAATGTGCTTTACATGGTACAAAAAATAAAGCAAATGTAAAAGATTTACAATTTAAAAAAATAATAATTATAAAAAAACAGGTAAAGATAAAAGAACAGCAAATACCCCCACATTTAGATGCACAATTTAATTAAATTAAGAACCATTTAAAAGAATAGAAATTATGGGTATAACAGCTATAAAATTAAGACAATTAGGATGTTACAAATAAACATTTATCTGTCATAATGACAACCAATGCAGCAATGCTGTTATGTCTGTCAAAACGATAGCTTGCTGTCTCATCCCTTTTGGTCATAGATTTATCATTATATACGTCACAAGGTTATAAAACTGACTGAAAGTTTGCAGTCCCTGCAGGCTACATACATAGAGCATTCCAGATAATTACATTGACATTACAATAGGGTAACATATAAAATAAATACACTCAAAGAATATAAGCCTATATAGTTTTTTATATCCAAATATAAGGAAAATAATTCTGTAGTGAATTTTGTAAATTTGCATTTTGAGAATGTAAACAGCAGTAACAAGATAGTGACGATAATATGGTTTTCATCTTCACATACAAAGCCTGACATTTGAGAAACAGTGTCCATCACTTTGACTGCGTTTGAGCACCAAGCATCCGCCTCTGCCTCCTCTCATCTTCTCTGAGTCTTGTGCTCTGTCAGCTTGGAATGTGGTGGGCACACCGAGTGCTCGATCTGGGATGTTGATGGAGCAGGTCTCTGCAAAAATGGGGCATTAGAGTCTCAGACTTCTTGTTGCTTGGCCAGTCTGTGTCCCATTTCGTCATTAACCAGAGGCAGCCTTAAATCCAAGCTGGACCATGATGCACCCGCTGTGTTACCTGGTCTGTTTGATCTGGCTGGCTCAAGGTCTGCTGTTCTTTTATCCAAACCCCGGCTTGCTTTTCTGATGTCTTTTAAAGGTGATAGGTGTTTCATTAATGAAGCCGAAAAAATGAAATAACAAATGAAAAGCAAGAATGTTGCAGAGTTTAAAGAAGATACAGCATCTGCATGTACAGCTATTCCAATAGTCAAAATCTCCTGATCCAATCGATTTGAAAAATTTTGGCCTATCCTTTAAAATCAAATCCAATCAGACATCGTGTTCTGGAAGAGGTGTTATGCACACAACCTGAGTGACTTGTTTAACATCAGTTAAAAAGAGCTTACTTACTTGTAAAAGTTAATCATAATACACAAAAACTAAATCAAAGTAAAGTAATCTAATCTAAGTAATGCAATGCAATTTTTTTGCAGTGTTTGGGAATCCACAGGTCATCTTCAGATATTTTGCACCGACAAAAGAGAAACTGGATTATTGATTCCTTCAGAGTTGATGAGGACTATGAAGGACCTTTCCCATATTCACTGGGCAAAGTGAGTATCTACAGAGAGTCACAATGCATGGATATGAATTGCACTTATGACAAGATGCAGGAAGAGCATTACAGAATTCGCTGCTGCTGTGTTTTTCTGACTTTACAGATTGAAGTTGAGAAGAAACTCGTCCTTTTCGAGATACATGGTCAAGGTGTTGACAAAGAGCCCACAGGCATATTAAAAATCAACAATAGCACAGGGGAGATTTTTGTGCATGGCCCCGTGGACTATGAGAAATTCAAAGTTTTGAAGGTTAGAAAGAATTTACTAAAACAATATTATTACAACAATCTCCGGTGATCTCTGGTGATGGAATAGTGGATAAGACACATGCCTTTGGTGTGAGAGACCTGGTTTCCTAATTCTTGCCTTTTCATTCCAGCTAAGGTTTCATGCATTAGATAGAGATAAACATGTAATAGACACGAAGCTTGGCATTGAGATACAAATTATCGACTCAAATGACAACCCTCCAAAGTTTGACCTTGAAAGGTACACAGTCATCCTTAAAGAGTCAACACCACAAGGTAAACTGCTCACTTTTAACAATTTCCTTACGTAATCCTTATTACTACTATCATTTACATTAAACAAAATTGTATTAATAAAAAGAAATTAAAATAAAATAAAATAACTCCTTTCGTCTGATACTGACAGGCACTGAAATTATTACCATTATGGCAAGCGACTTTGACACTGGAAAAAATGGAGTGTTTGATTTCAAAATAGTCTCAGTAACTCCTAAACCACATGAGCTGGAGTTCTTCTTAAACCAGAGAAGTAGTACTGGAAGTATTTCATTTAAAGGGTGTTTGGACCATGAGGTGAGAGGACTCATTGCTTCATGGAAAATATAAAATCTGTTGATCTTGGAACATTCATCTCCTTACATTCGAATAAGGCCAAATGATATAAGTTTGGTTTTATCTTTTTTTTTATTATTCATTTTAAAAATTAATTAATAATTTTTAACCAATCAGAAAGCAGATACATACACCATTGTAGTGGAGGCTAAAGACAGGGGAGAAAAAAAACAGCTCTCCAGCTCCTGCACCATCATAATCAACATAGAAGATGGAAATAATCACCGTCCTAAGATCACAGGGCAAACAGTGAGAAATTACTTCTTTCAGTTACCTCGAGTAAAAGGCAATGACAGCTGTTATAGACAGCCCATATTACTATAGTCTCTTTTCACAATAAAAGTTTAGTTTATTTTTTACCCCAGGGTCCTGGGAGAGTGAAAGAAGGAGAGGAAAATGTTCTTGTTTCACGTCTGCAAGTTACAGACGAAGATATCAAAGGTACAGGGGCCAGCAGAGCAAAATATCAAATCCAAGGAGACACAAACAACAACTTCATTATCACTACTGATCCTGAGACGAATGAGGGACTACTGTATGTGAAAAAGGTATTTTGTCTTTTTTGACAGATTTTTGACACTACAGTCCAACAACTGTTTGGAGACCTGAACACATTTTTTTAAAATAGTATGCACACCACAACCTCAGGTATCTGGACTTGGATTCCCGAATATGCTGTTGTACCCACAGATGCCCTTTGCTGATGCCTGTCCTTCAGATATCATGCAGCATTGTTAATATCTACATGCACATCCACAACAACTATGTACCTACTAAGTACCTTTCTTTAAAATGTTACTACAGCCATTTCAACCATGGCTTTTCCTTCAGACATCAAAACATCAGCCTCACTATGGAGTAGAACTGTGCAAGCAGTTCTTATGAATGCTAAGTGAGGCTTAAATTGATATTCTTGAATGTGGTGATTCATACTGTCTAGGGATTTTAACCACTGACAACCTGTGGATGATGAACCTTATGGCTGTGACATATGATGTGAAATATTTCAATATTTGTCTTCAAACCAACATTAAATATTTAATTATTTTATAGCCTCTAGACTATGAAGACAGCCCTCAGAAGAACCTGAATATCAGTGTAGAGAATGAGATCGCCTACCACTCATGCAAAGTGGTGAATCGTCATACCACTGGTCTTTGGCAAGTAGTCACTTACAGTGGTGGTCGATCTACCTACCAAGTGACAGTGGCTGTGGAGGATGTCAATGATCCTCCAATATTTGACAATCCTAACCAACAAGTAACGGTGGTTGAGAATGTTGAGGCTGGACAGTACCTGGCAGTATTTACAGCTAGAGACCCTGACTTTGCTGCCGCAAACACATTTTTGTAAGTCATGAAGACACTAGCTACATGTCCCTTTTACAAGACAACAATATTGTACATGTATGAAAGTCAAAAGAGAACTTAAAAATGTCAAACACAACTCATGTGTGTTTCAGATTTCAGAAAGGAGAGGATCCGGAAAATTGGGTTACAGTGGACAGTGTGACTGGAAAGATAACCACAACAAAGATCATAGACCGAGAGTCACTCCATGTGAAAGACAATATCTATAAGGTCACAGTATATGCTGTTGACAATGGTATGACCTGGAGTTGTTTTAACTTTCTGTTTATGTTATCAAACATGTTTTCTTTACCACATTTCTAAAAATATACATGTGCTTTTGGTCACTAGGTAAACCCCCAATGACAAGTACCGCAACTCTCAGCATTCATGTTAGAGATGAAAATGACAATAAACCATACCTGGTTGTAAGCACATTTGACATGTGCCAGTCTGATGGACCCTCTCTGGCCAACATCACAGCCTTTGACTTAGATGAAGAGCCCTACGGTGGACCTTTTCGCTTCATGCTTCTCGGAGAGCGGGGAAAGTGGAGGATTGACCCTGAGGAAGGTATGCTATAGTTCTGACAACTCCTTTGTGATTTAAATGTGGCTAAGGTCGTATAAATTGTGCAAATAATGTCTCTGCTATCAAATTAACCTCTAAGTCAAGTTCATATGCTATCCCACAGTGAATCTTTATAATATGTCAATTCATTTTGCATGTACAGGGTTTTCAGTCAACCTGGTAAAGGAGAACACAGTTCATTCTGGACACTTTGAGCTGTTGCTGAAAGTGTCTGACCTTCAGGGCGTGAACACTGTCCACAACCTGTCCATTACTGTGTGCAACTGCTTAGACACAGCGAGGCCAAACTGCCACTTCCGCAAAGCTACTGGCACTGCATTAGGAGAAGGAACACTTGGGATTATCTTTTTCAGCATACTACTGCTTGCAGGTATACGTTAATCAGAGAACACTTTATTTTTTAGTTTTAAAGTTAGAAATGTTTTAGATAAAAATATACATTAGATAATAACATAATTATCTTTAAAAACAGACTGACATTTTGGTCATAAGCCCTTCCTCTAGTAAAAGATTAAATAGCCTCGTTTAAAACATAACACTGTATGATTTGATCTGTGTGTGTGGTTTTTGTATCCCAGGTATGCTTCTTTTGGCTTTTCTGGTGTCATGTAAGACACAGAGCATAGCAATCCCAGGAGAAGACTCGGGACAACATCTGATGAGCTGTAACATTGAGAATCCAGGAACTGACTGCAAAGTAAACATTTTGATTACAAAAGTACCTCTACTTGGTTATTACTATAGACTAATACAAAGACACACACAGACAAAAACACATTTGTTTATTATTAATATTACTACTGAATCTGAGTAATGCCACCAGGTTTAAAGAGTTAGATGTCAAGAATTTTTCTGAGCCATGACATTTTGCAGTGCATCAAATTCTACCATATTTCAAATGGTGGCATATAGTATTAACCACTGAAATGCTAGATTTTCCAGTCCAAGAATGCATCATCAACCATGAGAAAGACACATCAGCACAGACAAAGACAAACACACATTTGTGGGATTATTAAATTCATTCATTAAAGCATTGCACTGTATAGTTGTTCGCTCTGCATCATAGTATTTGTCATTGTACTGGATTTCTCCAGAATGGCATACCCCAACTTTAAGTTGTTCATCCTACAACAGCAGTATTGTACACACTTAAAAAATGGAACTATAGTTTTGACTTGTTGACTTGTTGCAGACTTTACATTTTCAACAGGTGGCTTTTGGGCCATTAAACCAAGTATACAGTAAGAATGGGGAACAAATCCAAACAATATCTCAATCTTCAGCAGTAACGGTGAAGAAAGTAAGTTATGTAAAATATACATTAATAACAAGCTTATGAGGTCATAATTATTATTATTATTTAAACTGAGCTCACACTTTATTTGATCAACATGACAGATAGGCACTAATAAAATGTTTTTCACTTACTTATGTGTGGTAATGACTTGACTTGCTTTTTTTGTAGTCATTTACCAACACAACAAACGCTGCAGGGCTTCAAGCCCATTCAGAGCGTGTCATATCCAAAACTGGACAACAGCAAGGGAACCATTTGCATCAGGTATAGAAATTATTATTATGATTGTCACAAATTGCTCCATACACTTGATTATATAAGGATGAGTCTTGTGATATTCTTGATGGTTTCACTCTCAACAAATCCAAAGAAAAGACCAAAACCAGCAATGTATAAGTACTGTCTGTGTATAAAAGCCTTGTTTGTTTGTGCCATAGAACTCCATAGTTAATATTAAAAATATAACATTGCCTGGGTGACGTTTTCCTTCATCACAATGAACATGGGCACTATGGTTTACTGTGAGTGTATCCCATGTACACTATCCTGCTGTGACGACTGAAAAGAGTCTAATATATACTATGTGCTCTTGTTGAAGTGATGTTTGCTAAAAACTACAGTACCGAGTTGTCTTAGGAAATAACTTACCCTTTAAAAAAAGAAAGTACATATTAGTGAAAGGGTTTTAACATTGTTTTTATTTTCGTTTTCACTAACAACAAATGAGCTTGGCATTTAAAGTCACAGATCCAGTAGGCTGGAAAAGTGAAAAGGAATTGCCAGCCTTATCCTTTCATATTTTTCTCATGTTGTATAGTGACTAATGGACACAAATTATTTTAAAAGTGAGGTATTGTCATTGCTGGATGTGTTTTTTTTCCCCAGTTGATAACTGACCCAGTAAGTGAAGCATCACAAGCCTGCTCAGACAGCACCCAATTCCAAAGAAAAAACTAAAACAAACAAAAGTTTACATGTGGGAACTCTCTGCGTTGGGTACTGAAATTATTTTAATTATTATTATTATTAGGGCCCAAACAGTGGCCGCTGGAGGACCCTATTGTGTTTGTTATTAAAATTATTCTTATTATTATACTTCTTCTTCCCTATCGGACGCATTGTTGGGGTGCCTAGCATGCATGAAAAGTTGTATAAATTGGCACACACGTCTAAACTGGTGAAAATAGCGATCTGATATGGGTCTGATACGGGCGCACAAAAAAGGCCCCTAACAATTTTCAAAACCAAAGCCCCCTCCTTTCTCTTTGGCCTACATTCGCCAAACTTGGTAGGTATATGTATTGTGTTCAGACTTAAAAATAAGCCTCTTGGAGCCATACCCTAAACCCTTCAGGAAGTCAGCCATATTGAACTGAATGTGCGTCGATTTTCCATTTACACCCTCTGTATTTTAATGAACTTGTCTTAGGGATATGATCAGATCAACTTCAAATGCGGGCTGTGCCATCCCAAGACCCTTGTGATGTTAAATTGTGAAACTTTTTTTAATTGATCAAACGGCGTGTCCATGGCATGGCGTGGCGTGGGGTTCAATTTTGATGATTCGCCATGAAAAAGGAAAAAGTGTGTAAATCGGCTGAACATGGTCAGATCTGCCCCAAACTTCACATGTTTGATAAGAGTCCCGCCCTGAAGACATCTACATGCCAATATCCAGTCATAGTGAAAACGCCACCTATTGGCAACAGGAAGTGACATGTTTTATTTGTTGCGGAACTCCTAGCAGGATGATCCGATTTGACTCAAAACTGTCTAAAATTAGTCTTAAGACCTACATGATGTGAGGTTTCATGCTTGTGACTTAATGTAAAACGGCGTTGCCATGCCAACGCATTATTCGCCATGAAACAGGAAGCTGTATTTTGAGAGGCTTAGGAAGCTTGAAATCTCACAATACTTTGTACACACATTAGAATGGTTGTGTTGTGTAGTCTGATAACTTTCAAGGTCATGTGTCTCAAAAAATGGCTCTATAGCGCCCCCTACAAGATTTCAAATTTGTAGGCACGTGTAGAATGCCAGGATTTTAAAAAAATGTCTCTTGGAGCCATATGATAAACCCAACAGGAAGTCGGCCATATTGAATTGAATGTCTGATTTTACCTTGTTTATAGGCTCCGCATTTTAACAAACTCCTCCAACAGCTTTAACCCGATCAACTTCAAATGCAGGCAGTGCGACCTTAAGGGCCGCACGCAACGGATACACGGGTGCGGCACACCCCGACGAGCGGGAGGTGTTCGGGCCCGCTCATCGCTGCTTGCAGCTTTAATTATTATTATTATTATTATTATTATTATTATTATTATTATTATACACTAATTAATGTTTTTCAGTAACTTATGTGTGTTCATGAATTGACATGAACTTCTTCGTTCTTTTTTTGCAGTCATTCACTAACACAACTGCAACAACTGCTGCAGTGCCGCAAGCCCATTCAGAACATGCCATATCCAAAACTGAACAACAGCAAAGGAACTATTTGTATCGGGTACAGAAATAATTATAGTTATTGTAGTTATTTTGTCAAAAATTGTACCATTCTCATGAAGTCCTGTGATATTTTAGATGCTTTCACAGTCAACAAATCCAAAGAAAAGTCCAAAACCAGCAATGAATTGATCCCAATAACAAATACTGTCTGTTTTGCCAAGGCCTAATATGACTTTTGTCTGTGCCATAGCACTCCAAAAAATTCAACATTGCACTGTGTGACATGTTCCTTCCTTACAATGATCATGGGCACTGTAGTTTACTTTGAGTGGATCCCACATACTGTATATCATCCTGCTTCTAAAGATTTACAGCAACATCCAAAATGAGTCTTCAATGTATGCTATTTACTCTTGTTTGAGTGGTGTTTACTAAAAACTACAGTTCCCATTACATTTCAGTAATAACAAATGAGCTTGGAATTTAAAGTCACAGATTAAGTATGCTGGGAAAGTGGAAAAAACAGACTAACACGTCTCTTTGTTTTGGTCTTGTCATGAGATTTGTTGACAACCAAAAAACTATAGAACAAGCTGTCCGCCTTATCCTTTCATATTTTGTCATGTTGTATAGTGACTAATAGACACTTTTAAAATGATTTAAAAAGTAAGTTTTTGTCCCCCAGTTGATAACTGACCCAGTAAGTGAAGCATCACAAGCCTGCTCAGACAGCACCCCGTTCCGAAGAAAAAGTTTCAAGGAACAAGAGTTCACACGTGGGAACTCTCTGCGCTGGGTACTAAAATTATATCATTATTATTATTATTGAATCTGAGCTCACACTTTTCTTAATCTCTAATGCACCATTACAAATGGGCACTAAGTAAATATTTTTCAGTTACTTATGTGTGGTCATGACTTGACTTCTGTTGTTGTTTTTTTCAGTCATTTGCTAGCACAATAACTTCTGCAGTTCCACAAGTCCATTCAGAACACACCATATTCAAAAGTGAACAACATCAAAGGAAAAACCTGCATCAGGTACATAATTATTATTATTATTGTTGTTGTTATTTTGTCAAAATAGCACCCAACTCCAGATTAAAGGATGAGTCTTGTGATATTCTAGTGGCTTTCACTGTCAACACAAAGAAAAGTCCAAAACCAGCAATGAATTGATCCTAATAACAAGTTCTGTCTGTGTAGCCAAAGCCTCACAGGATATATAATGTTTGTCTGTGCCATCAAACTCCATTATTAACATTTCACAAAATTTTCTGTAGTAACAAATGAGCTTGGGATATGAAATCACAAAGACAGACTAACACACTGTTGGTTTTGGTCTTGTCATAAGTTGAAGAGTTTGAAGAGTTTAAATAGTTAGATGTCAAGAAGTTTTCTGAGTCATTACATTTTGCAGTGCATCAAATTCTACCATATTTCAAATGTTGCCATTTAGCATTAATCACTGAAATGCTTGATTTTCCAGTCCAAGGGTGCATCATCAGCCATGAGAAAGACACATCAGCACAGACACTCTATGCGTGGGGTAGTGCAATCTAGACTATAAGCACTTTTCCTGTGAAATTTTACATTATTTAATTTTTTTGATATTCATTCACTATGAAATTTTATCACAAGCAGGCAATGATGAAACAACTGAATTCATGCAAATTTCTGCTTCTGATCTCCCAGGGTTGGGTGGGATACGGCACATATTCACCAGACCAGGAGTTTGGTGTAGTCCAACGTGGAATTCTGTTCAAAGTACTAAATACGGTAATGACAAGAATTAAATCAATAGGGTAATTCTGTTTCTTTTAAATAAATGCATTCTCTTCCACTACTGTAGATGCTGTCCAATCTGCAGGCACCAGGAAAGGAACTGGGTGATTATGACCCTCATGTGTATGCTGAAGAGGGAGACATGCAGACCAAATATGAGCTTGATGCCATCTCCATCCCTGATGTCACCTTTGACTTGGATCTAGACTTGAATTTCAAGTTCAATACTCTGGCCTCAGTCAGCATGCCTGGTGAAAGCACTGCCTACAGTGCTGTGTAATAGGAAAACAGCGACTCTGACTGAAGTGGAAAGCCAAAACACTAAAATGAAAACACATTAGTAAAACATGTATCATTTTATTTTTGATCAATCCATCCTGAAGTGTAATACTATATATGGTACTTTTAGCATAATCTTTCAAGTGACTCACAACAAGTTTTGCTAGCTATCTTACTGACATCAGGGAAAAATGAAAGACTGTGTGTGAAAGTGTGAAAATTAAAACTTAATTAACACCAGGCGCATGTTACCACAGTTAGTGGAAACTATTCATAGTTCATTAGCAATGTTACATAAACCCCACCCTAAGATCTCTGCTCTGTCATAGGTGTAAAACGGAAGAAGTCAGTGTTGCTTTTATTTTGGTAAAAAAAAAATTGTTGTATGTTTTCGGTGATTCTTTGTGCCATTTTTGTCATTTAATTTCGCTAATAGTCTGCCTCCTGAGAACGAGTGAGAGCCACCGCTTAGCTATAGCCTCAGTGAGCTAACCCAGCAGCACAAAGAGGCCAGCAATGGCAAAGAGAGGCAGCCAGGAAAAAACAGCATGAAGAGCCAGACACACCCACACACATACCTGCACAAATATATCATAAGCAATTGTTGGGTTGACTGTGACCAGCTGAAAAACGTTGACATATTGCCCAACCCTAGTTGACAAGACAGGGGACTACATTCTCTAGTGGTCACAAAGAGTAAAGAATGCTTCCATAGACATAACTATATGAATTTTGATCAAAACTGCACTGATTTCATCTGTAAGAAACAACAATAAGCACACAGATTAAGAGAAAGGGACAACGTGTCTCATAATGCAAACTGATAGGAAAACTGTCTGTCTGACACATTTATCTTCAGTTAAACCGGGTTCTCTTAGCCTCAATTTACACAAAAATCCATGTCATATAACTCTCACATACTCCTGACTAATCCACATATCCATTTAATTCTTTGTTAACCCTTATCTGGTTAAAATATTAATGTGATTACTGTGTTGAAAATGTAGCGCATGACATGACAAACACAAAAAAGGACTAGGCAAGTTGAGTGTAGTCATACAGCTACAGAGACCTTTTACACAATCATAATGTACAGCAATGACAGGGTGGGTGTTTTACTTTTCTTTGGAATTAAGACTTATTTTAGGGTTGTTTTTTTCATGCACTATTTTATCCTTTGCTATAATTACACAATAGACTACAAACTTGTCATTCACTCACTGCGAGTCCAGGCTTTTCGAAATGCTGACAAATATTTTAGAGTGCAAAAACTGAACTGTGTTATTTCTGTGAATGTGTGTCATTATGTAAAATAAAACTCCAAGGAGGTATGACAATTACTGTTGGACCTGATGAGCCATACATCCATGGTGATTTCAGTTAACCATTGTAAGCTTGTCAAGCCGGTTTTGTGTTTCTTGATTAGTCTGTTGATAAAGAAAAGGAATGTGTATTTGTGTGTCCTGTGGGTGTGTCTGTGTACATGAGCCTCTGTTTGAGTACATATCCACATGTATCCACATGAAATAAATAAAGAATTGTATCTTCTACATACTTTAGAGGATGACTGGCCAAAGGTTTGGTAGATAAAATATATTTCATACATAGATGCAGTTATGGGTAGCCACAGAGAAGAAGTCAACTTTGATACTTCACAAACAATTTCTAAAAATGCATATCCTTACAGCCATGTGCTGTCCACATATCAAGATATATATTCCCACAAACATATGTCTATGAAATATTGTCTCCATGTGGTTTAATTATGGTAAATGAAGATATGCTGTATATTTAAGGTTATCTAAAAGGGAGTGACACTCACCTTGTGAATCCACAAATCTGGAACTGCTGTACAGAGAGTGAATACATTGTTGATTTTCCTAACCCATATAATTTTGTGTGATATCTTGGACCAACTTAAGGGTTTAAATTCACACTGATTGTTGTAAGCAAAACACTGATTTAATAAAAAAAAACAGTAAACACACTGTGTGCCTTGGGTGGAGGAAGCACTCGCGCGCCATCCTCTCCCATCCTCGCTTCATTCCTTCAGACGACTTCTTTCGTGGGTAAGGCCTACATGGCAGCGGGTCGAGCTGGGTGGGTCCTGGGTCCAGGACAGCGACGGCTGAAGAGAGACAAGGTCAGCCCTCGGCTAGCTCCTACCGTCGGAGCCAGAAGCGAAGCGTCGCTTCCCGTAGTCCCTCTCAACAAACCTGGGACGCGAGGCGACGCTCTTGCCCACAGCCCCCTGAGAAGACAGCAGGCTCGGGGAAGAGGTCCTGACGTTTCGAGTAGGGGGGCCCACCACCACCACCCCCCCGAGAGAGACTGACCGAGGTCCCCATCCCTCGTGGCGGCTCAGGCAACAGGTTTCCCGCCATCTTGGCGCTCGGGACACGCTAGCCGCCAGCGAGCTCTCACCAGTCTGCCCGCCTCGAGGGGTTGCAACTGGAAAACGATGGGCTCACACAACGTGGCTCGTCGGTGAGTTTCCCTGGCGGTTCTCCGCTTCAGGGTGCCACCGGGGACCTACTCATAACACCGGCCACCAGCCCCGAGGGGTTGGTTCCCTTAGCGGATTTTGTAGAACCATGGTGGAACCTTGCAAACATTTCCCCGCGGGTCCTGCGCACCGTAGTGGATGGCTACAGGCTGCAGCTCCGGGTCCACCCCCGGCAGAAGTTCAACGGCGTGGTCTGGACTGCAGTGCATGCTCCCGCCAGTCAGGGAGTCCCGGTTCTACAGCCGGTACTTCATAGTTTCCAAGAAGGACGGATGGGTTGCGTCTGATTTTGGATCTGCGGTCCCTGAACCAATCTCTGAGGAGATTCAGGTTCAGGATGCTCACCATCCCCACCATCATCAGTTCCGAGGATTGGGTTGTCACGATAGATCTGCAAAGGCTGGGCTCCCCGCTTCTAAACACACCATAAGCAACTGGATCGTTCAGACTATTTCCCTGGCCTATAAGGTGCACGGTTTGCCTTCACCTATGGCCGTAAGGGCGCACTCTACTTGAGGCATGGCAGCTTCTTGGGCCCTCCTCGCAGGGGCGTCACTCCAGGATTTGTGTGACACGGCTGGCTGGGCCACCCCTCACACTTTCATCCGGTTTACAGTCTGGACCTTCCTTCTGCACCCGGCACCCATGCGCTCTCCTCCTGGTCGTGCCGTCAGATTCTGCACGCTGGGGGCAGGCGGGGTTTCGGCGCGGCCTAAGTGGGTATCTCGTTCCCATAGTGTTGTCACCGATGCAGTTAGAGTTCCCTCGAAGGGGAACGTCTTGGGTTACGTATGTAACCCTTGTTCCCCGAGAAGGGAAACGAGACACTGCGTCGGTCCGCTACACCTCACCTCGCCTGGAGTGCCTTGCTTCATAGAAAAGGGCTAATGTGTCCTGTGTGCCGGCGTGCTTATATACCCCTCCGGTTACGCCGTCACACGCTACCTTTCTAGCAACACCAATAGGATTGGAGTAGTTCCATTCATAGTTCAGCCCTGCCACGCCCAGAGGCGTTCCCATAGTGTCGTCACCGACGCAGTGTCTCGTTCCCCTTCTCGGGGAACAAGGGTTACATACGTAACCCGAGACGTTATTCAAGGATGGGGTGAAGTCACAACAGCTTGTGTGATCTCCACCTGGTCAGGCCACTGATGCACAAAGATCGCATAAACCCCTTCGTTCTATGAAGGGCTGATGTGCCGAAGGTGGAAACAATTACTGAATGAACAGAAGAAACTGAGAATGTACTGTATCGATTTGTGAAGTTGAGACAATTATGATAACCAAGAGGTTCAGTGTAGTCATAAATGGCTGCTCCCTTTTTCCTGAAAAATGCTATAATACTAATTTACTCTCCCACCTGGAATGTTCCTCTCCTTAAGGACTCCATGGGAGAAGCAACTTTTCTCTGTAGTATTGGTAGCCTCGGTCCAAAGCAAGATGTTCCTCCAGGGAACCCCCTATCCACAGAGCCATGTCCACACAAACATAAGCCTAAGAAGGTTGACCAGCTAGCAAGCTAAAGCTCCAGATGCATTTCTCAGGAGTTCATGAAGACAAAATGTGCTGAAAGTTCAATGAATTCCATTCTCTCTTGACCAGACACAGGCTACAATGTGATGGTAATATTGCTTCATGTCTGCTATGTGTAGCCAGCAGTTTGTTTGTATGACCACAATATGTCAGGGCAGTTTGTTTTGGAGTTATTCTGCCCTTTACAGACCAAAATTCAAGTATACATTTAAAACTACTAAGAGTATGAAAATACCTGAGTGTATTTGTATTTTTTACATAATTCACAATGTGGTGATAACTAAAATTGTTAATAGAGGTGATAATGCTAACTTATCTACAAATGAGTACACAAACATCTCTGCTGTACGACAGTCCATACCCATTTTCTCAGTTAAAAGGTTTTCGGCGTTTTTACCCGAATCGAGTGTTTAAGGACAGATGGTGTCATATGCTGTACAGATTGTAAAGCTCCCTGAGGCACTAATTTGTGATATTGGGCTATATAAATAAAATTGACTTGACATCTCAACATCTCTATCCTTATCCATCCCTCTCTGAGCTGAGACGAGAGGGAGGAAGCAGCAGATTTCACAATCACTATATAAATATATGTGTGTGCATGTGTGTGTGTGTAAACATGATGCCAAAACAGCTGTCTCAAATACAAATTGCATCCTATTGGCTGTCATGTTAAGTGTTAAAGGCAGCACTTGTCTTAACATCTGTGAAGCTAACTTCCACTAGATCCACTAACTATATATAACCCCTTCTTTTATCTGTCACTACTCTTCCATCCACTCGATTAAATTAACCATCTCTGCTTCCAGTTGTGTAATACTAATTTTAAACAGAATACATTAAGCTCTTATTATTCCTTTGCTGATTGTGACTCGTTTGTTTTATTCCTCTCCTTTAACCAATAAATACACATCTGAGTCACTGTGCTTATGTAGGCAGAGAATCAAGATAAGAGCAGCAGCAGTACCCAGTCAATATTCAAAACCTGCTGTACACAAAGAAAACAGTGACACGGGGTCAGAGGGCAGTTGTACATCACTCTACTTCTGTTGAATTGTTTCAGCCTCAAACAAAGATACCACCCGTAGACATCCAATGCCCAAGCACCAGTTTGCTTCTATTTTACTTGTCAACCAGCTTGCTGCATTAATTTAAATTGGTGCTAGTCTCCTAGTTCTCCAATGACCACTGAATTTCTGATGGTGATTGAATAAGGGACCCACCAATGTAATCATTTGGACTCTGTGGAGCTTTATTTACTAAAAGGCTCAATTAAAAATGTAATTTATCTTTGAGACATATGCCCCCTGCTGGTTTATTTAGGAATTATGTTCAATGTCATTACCAAGTGGTGGTTCTAACAAATAACTTATCAAAATGCATCATAATAATTCAAGTAAAGCTTAGAAGAAACTTGTATGCTTATATGGCGTTTTACCCATCAATCTTATCCCCACACTTTTTCTCAAAATCATCTTTGGTATCTTTGTGTACACCAATATCCTTCTATTGACTGGATTTTAATGATGTATTTGTCTTCACGGGGTGACCCTAGAAGGGCATTTGTTAATCCTGACATTTAAAAATGTACTGTCTACTCTTAATATGTAATACGTCACCTTTGAAAAGCTACATTAAAGGTAAGAAATCCAAAATATAATTCTGTGTGTTGAGCAATATGCTGCAATTGTTTTTTTATATATTTATTAAGCAATTTAAATACACTGTAAATCTTTGGTATCAGTATGGATCATGGAAATATCAGTAGAGTAAGAGAAAATAGTTTCTGCTACCACCTAGTGGGTTTGCCTTCCCCACAACCTTCTCCTTGGAGGTAGCCATCATACAGCTCTCTGAGGTGGAGGATGAGCTCCTCTGTGTTCTGTCCTGTGAGAGCCGACACGGGGATGACCCGCTGGGTGACGAGGCTCCTTAGAGTCTCCAGCTTCTCCGAGGCCTCAAGAAGATCCATTTTATTTGCTATGATGGCCTGAGGCCGCTGAGACAGACCAGGCTCATACTGATCCAGTTCATAATGCAAGTGCTGGAGCTGGTTCCAAGGCTCTGGTGTCGACAGGTCCAGAACAAAGAGGAGGAAACGACACCGCTCTATGTGACGCAGAAAAGAGATGCCCAGACCTCGATTTAGATGGGCCCCTCGAATGATGCCTGGGATGTCAGCCACTACACAGAGCAAGGATACAAGTGGAACATCTAAGTTATACTGGGGGTGGGCAGCTGAAAACCATCCAGTTATAAAATACTATTTAATTACATAATTCTGCAATATACTAGTGATTTGCTTAAAATCAACTACCTGCAACTTGTTCATGATCCCTGTACTTGACAATTCCTACATGTGGGTTGAGTGTTGTAAAAGGGTAAGCAGCCACAGCAGGCCTGGCATTGGAGATGGCTCTCAACAATGATGACTTCCCAGCATTAGGAAACCCCACCTGATGGGATAAAGATCAGTTCATTACATGGTTTTAAGAAGCAATATGCCAATTTTATTTTTCAAGCTTTTTCTCACCAGTCCTGCATGAGCCATTGTGCGGAGTTCTAGCTGAAGGACCCTCTCTTGGCCCTCAATTCCTGGGGTTGCTGTCATTGGGGCACGATTCTCATTAGTCAGAAAGAATCGATTCCCCTTCCCACCAGCCCCTCCAAATACAGCCAGGTACTCCTGACCATGCTCAGAAAGGTCCACTACTGTCGTTCCTTGTTCCTTCACCAAAGTGCCTAACGGTACCTTCAAAATGGAAAAACATCAACGGCAAGGTTAGGCAGTAATTTATGCTAGAGACAAAAGTATTCATTATTTATAATCAAACACATGGACTCACACAAATATAGGTTGGGCTGCCATTCCTGCCGTAACAATTCTTATTGCCCCCTGATTTCCCATCCTCTCCTTTATAAACCGGAACTACTTGCGCCAATGATTTGACAAAGCGGTCAGCTGAAAGCACACAAATAAGGAATATAGACTGAAGCACATTTCCCCATGATGCAATATAGAGCAAGCTCTGTAGGAGACTGTGTTTTTAAAACCAATTATTGGTAAAAGAAATTCCTAATTGTTCATGATTCAAAACAAAATCTAATTACGTTCTAGCCGGTCAGGTGGGTAGTCCTGAACTTCAAATATAATTCATGTGTGGTGTCTAAAAACAGGATAGAGAAATTGCAGAATATACACGGCAAACGTTTTCTGTACACATTCCTTGAACCAGGTGGACAATCAACTTACCCTTGATAATGATGTTTCCTCCATCACCCCCATTGCCACCATCCGGTCCGCCCCACTCTTTCCGGGGCTCACTGTGAAAGCTGCAGGCCCCTTTACCGCCTGACCCAGCCACCAGCTTCACACGCCGATGGTCTACAAAGTGGCATGTCTAAAGGGTCAAATCAAGAAATAAATAGACAGCCGGCTAATCCACGCGTCAAGCAACACTGATAGTTTGCGAGTCATCAACAGAACACTAGGATGGATTACACAAAGATTATTTAATATTTTTAATGCTTTCGTAAGGGATGTGTCACCAGATCAGCTGTAGATTCATCAGTTATCATACTTGATGTAACTCTTCCCCTAGGGAGCTGATTATGGGCATCCTTTCATAGCAACATTTAGTTTGGATTAGGATTTAGTTAAGTGATGATAAATATGTCAGTGACACTGGTTTTCTTTTAACATTTTGCAGGTAATATTTCTAGTAAAACATGGTGGGTATCATTTAACTATTGACCATCTGTTCTTTCATGTTCCAACTTCAAGAAGACATTTTTCTTTGCTTTGAAGGCAACTTGAGGGATAAAGATAAAATTGTCTTTGAACAATTACTTTTGCTAACAGAGAGACTCCACACACGTATAAAGTTGTGGACTGACTCCATCCTAACCTCGGGTACGTTTGTCAAGCAATGCTTGAATATGGCACCAGTTAACGTTAGCTATCTTAGATGTTAAAAACAAGAAGCATCTTAAAACTATACACCAACACAGATGTTTTTACTTACTTTTAATTTCTTCTCCGTTTATATCCATGGTACAGTTAGTTCAGTTAAAAACACTATGTTGTGAAAGAGTAATAACATACACCTATCTAGTTAAAACACATACCAGCTTCTTTTCTGACAGCTCTCTCTTCTTAGGGCTTCCTCGGACTTTAGCGCACAGCGTGCAGGAGGTGCTGACATCTCTGACACCGCTGACTTTCTGTTTCCACGCTGCTGGTCTCGGAGAACTGTGACTGAACAAGCTCAAACAGTTTCTGCTAACCTCTTGTCCTAACATATATCCTAAAAGTATGTCTGGAGAGAGCAGCCGAAGGCTTTTAACTCTCCACAACATTGCCAACATTGTGCCGTTCGACAGATTTTACTTTAACTTAGTTACGTTTCTGAAGCAACGTTAGCTAACAACAGTTTGACAATGTCACCTCGACCGCTCGCCACATACACACGTTAGTAGCGAGCAATAAGGGATTTGTCAGGAAAATAACAAACAGCTGGCTATGTCAATTCACGAATTTCTTGTATAATCGTTTAAGCATTTCCAATAACACATTAACTAGATGAGGCACAGTACGCGTAACACTGTATACCTAACAACTACGGAAGCCGTGAAGGGAATGTGTATATGTGATTGTTAATTACGGAGTCTTTACTGTTGCGTTTTGGACCTCTACCGCCACCTTCTGTGCTGGAATGTGTGTTAAGGTACACAAAAGAAAAAAAGTTGCTGTGCTGCTACTAACAAGCCTAAACATATTTTTATATCCTTATTAATATGTTCATTAATAGAACTACATCTGTGATACTTTATATAGCCTAATAAAAGTCTGAACACTTCTCAGAGGCAGAAAAGGTTACTTAAAAACTACAGATTTTTGTTTTGTTGCATATTCTATTGGGCAGTAACAGAAATGCCAATTTCTGCATTGACTAAATCCCATTCACTACAACCCATCTGCATTTACAGGAATTTAAACACCTCTAATCAATACACAAATGGCCTGAAAACAGACAATACTGTAAGCAGTATCCACATTGTCAATATCTATCTATATCTACTAACTACAGAATGATAATAATAATATCATTATTATATTGATGTGTGACTTCTGATATTTCCTTAACAAATACACAAATACAGAGAAAAAAAAGGTGAAGGTCAGTTTATTTTTATATAACAAACAGTAACAAAAGACAGCAGAAAAGATCAGGCAATGCAGTCTTACAATATATAAGTAGATAACATTCATATTTGGATTATGCACACCAACATTGATTCTCTCTCTCTCTCTCTCTCTCTCACACACACACACGCACGCACGCACGCACACACACACACACACACACACACACACACACACACACACACACACAAACAAGGCGTACCACCCAGATCAGTGAAGACACACTACATAGACAGAACTGGTAAAGACTTGTCATACAGATCACAGTAAAATAAAACACTGATACAAATTCAATGTATTATAGAGAAGAAAGTGATTGTCACTGTTGAGTGGTACATAGTTATTTAGCTGTTTGACAGCCAGGTATCTCCCATTCTTGATTAACCCTGCAAAATGACTGCAACCATTGTGTTATTTTACCCCTCTGAGATACAGTAAGTTAAGTTAATACAGAATATACTGCAAAGCTCGACCCTCAGTCACACTAATAATCCTTACTGCTCAAACTGTAAAAATAACAGCAATTAGTGAAATAACCAGAGGTGTCTTCTTTTAAATAAATAAACAATACAATACAGTATATGCCCATTTTGTAATGATAGATAGATAGATAGATAGATAGATAGATAGATAGATAGATAGATAGATAGATAGATAGATAGATAGCAGTGTTGGGGAGTAAGTATGTACATGTAATTTAGTTACGTAATTTAATTACAAAATAAATGTAACTGTAATGGATTACAGTTACCTGGGGAAAATGTATAGTTAAATTCGAGTTACTTTTGAAAAGGTTCATGATTACACTGGGGGTTACATCTGAATATTTTCAGTAAAAAGCTAGGCTATAAGTTGAATAATATTAATTTTGTTGTGGTTGCATGTTTTTCATGTGCACATTGTCTTCCTTTGCCATTTCCAGCCCCAGCCATCTAGTAAAGTTTGATGCTATTCTGATGCTTTTGATTGGTTCTCATGTTTGAATTTGCAGCGCCTCACAAACTGTCTTTTCAAAATAGTTAACAGTTGAAAAGTAATCAAAAAGTAAATAAATGTAATAAGTTACATTACTTTAATCAAGTAATTGAAATAGTTACAATACTATTACATTTTAAATTGGGTAACTTGTTATCGGTAACTTATTAGATTTGCAAAGTAACCTTCCCAACACTGATTGATAGATAGATAGATAGATAGATAGATAGATAGATAGATAGATAGATAGATAGATCTATCTATCTATAGATAGAAAGAATAAGGCAAGTGTGCTTTTACGACATCTACACTTATCTAAAAGTGTACCTTCTATAACCCTTGTATACCTCCTCTATAACACTTGTCTTATTTTTAACATTTTTTTTCATCTAATACAAAAGATGATGCTAAAAGTTTTCACTGAAAAAAAGAACATTAAAGTAGTAAGCTTTATGTTTGTGGTAAAAGACTTCACATTATCTGTCAATAAGAAATACAGAAAATAATTTTCATTAAAAGATGACCTTTCAGTTGAAGCCTGCAACATAACGCTTAAAGCTGGGGTAGGCAATTTATTTCAGAGGCATTTTTTTGTTCGTTGAAATTCTCTTTACATCCCGACAGCAATCAATACATCAAATGCCCTGACATAAAAGTTAGAAGAAAATCCGGTATCTGTGGCTGTCACAGAACTGTAATAAGCACGGTCAATCCTGTCTACCTGCACGAACTCTGCCCATTGTGCATGAAAATGTTTTGAGTGAGGTCTGAAGGGAAGGGGTGGGATTTTTTTGGATACTGTTAAAATCAAGTGTATCCAACCTTACCTACCCCAGCTTTAATAATATCAGACAAACCGGCCCTAGCCTTTGCCTTTAATATATGTCAAGAAACTACAAATAAAGATATACAGTGTGAGATCACCATCAGAACCAACCTCAACATGACCGACTGAGTGTATTGCACTTATTTAAGTAGACGTGCAGGACACGTAACTGTTCTGTTCCTGTGTTACTTTGGCTTTTTGAGGATCATTTGTTAAAATAGCCTGAATTGTACTACAATACAAAATATCAGACAATACATACACTGTCACTGCAAAATAAAGTGCAGACAAAGTGGTGATGTGTTTTTTATATGTAAAATCATCACTAAATAGCATCAGAGTAGTGTAACCCCTCTTAACTCTGCACAATAACGATATGTCTATGCAGCGTAATGCCACTGGAAATAAAGTGTCAAAAATACTACCACGATGTATGATTAACATGGACAATGATACACACTTTTAAGTCTGGATCAGTCAGCTATCTATTGTGTCTATTACCTCAGTAAGACATATGAAGAAAGTGAAAACACATAATGTTAGACCACACAGCAACACATTACATTTTGACCAACACAGACAAATCCCCTGATCAAGTCAGGTTCAAGGACCAAAGTTTTCACCTTCATAAATTAATGTGTCTCTACCAGGAATTAAAGCAAGAGATGGACCTAATCTATTAGTTAATTATCAAGGAAAACTACCTTTAAGGCTAATGTGCTTTTTATAGCCAAAGTCTCACAAACCACAGACCTTCTCTGAAAAATAAAACAAGAGGCTTGCAAAATAAAATAAAAGCAGGGTATAGGTTAAAGGCAAGTGAAAGCAAAGACAGAAAAAGAAAGGGAAGGATACAAGCAATTTGCTGAGGCTCATCTGATGACTTTACTGCTCCCTTTTAGCAACCTTTTCAGTACATGTAGAAGGTTTACATTAACTGTCTTGATTCCACAAGCACCCTGACTTTTCGTAGGGTGACCAGTAGCACTTTACCCCCTGTAGCGAGCAAAACAGATGAGGAAAGCGTCACATTTGACAAGATTATCTATTCTTAGCTACAATAATGAATTAATGAGAGGATAATGAATATGATAAAGCCAGATCTTCTAATCCACAGCTGAGCCAGCGTGTCACTGTTGAACCCTTCCTTTTTTCATTTCTTCCAACAGGAAAATAATGTGGCATCTTATTGCTGATAATTCCCATACTGACCCTGCAATGTAAAATTATTTACACGGAGAGATTAGATTGCATTTCATACATCATTTCTTTTCTGTTGCTTCTGAGGCAGACACGGTACAAAAGTATAAAGTTAACCTATTATTCCTCCATGCATCAGCTTTCCTGATGTTTGATATCATGTAAGAGTTTGATTTGAAAAACAAGAAACAAAAAATGTCTGAGATTATGAATTATTACAGTTCACTGTAAAGGTCCCTGTGTATTTATGCCTCAAGCTACTGGAAAAAATGCACTTGTGTGTGCCCTAACATATACTGTGCTACGTCAGCATACATTAGCAGTTGTAGCAAGCAAAAGTTTAAAGTCATTTCTTACTAAATTATTAATACAAATACTTTTAAAAATACAAAATGAACTGGTGAATTCCAGCCAAATTAAACATTCATTAGGGATTATATACATATTTTTCTATATGTTAAAGTCGTCACTGTCAGAAAGCCAGTTTCAGAGAGTCAGAGATAATCTAATTTGACATACCTGTTCATAGGCATAGGGCCTCTGCGTCTGCGCTCCAGGACCTCCCTGGGAGGAACGGTAGGAGCTATACTGTTGGCTTTGACCCTGCTGATACTGAGAGTACTGGGATGATCCACCCTGGCCAGGACCTGTAGCAGAGGGCTTACATTCAGTTAATTTGTTTTGTGTGTGAGTTTATGTTCATGTGAATGCACACAATAGGTTTTATGGGTTGTTCTAACCGTATCCCTGTGGCTGTCCGCTGTAGCCTTGTTGAGAGGAGTACTGTTGCTGGCTGAAGGGCTGTTGCTGGCCAGAGCCCTGCTGATACTGGGTTTGCTGTTGACTGTACTGAGAGTTACCTGGAGGCATAGATACACAGGTACACATGTCAGCTATTGTGAGGCAGTACTTATATCTTCAGTTGGCCACATTTAGACAAACTGAGGTTGTGAAGGTGCAGTGAAATACTGTATATCTAAAACACAAGGTTTATAAAGTGAATAGCTGTTACCTCCTTCATAATAATGCTGTGAAGATTCATCAAAGGACCTGTCATAGCCTTGCTCACCATATGAAGACTGTTGATACGAGTACTCCCCATGACCTGCAGAGAACACGATTCAACACATGCAAAAACTCCTCTGCAAAGGCAAACCCCACTTACACATAGAAGAGAAGTCATTATTCGCAGTTCGAAGCCAAAACATTGATAATACTTGTGCAATGACAAAATTACAAGCACAACAACAACAAGGCTTCCCACTTCAATATAATGCACAAAGCACAAAGAAACACCCTGGAGGAAGTTTGCGCTCTCTCCTCAACACACTCCTAAAGCACTCTCTGAAATCTGAAATTTCGGCACACCAAAGGGGACAGTATGGACACAGACACACTGGGAGGAAAGAGAATTGAGACCAAAGTCAGTCTTTTGCTATTTAAAACAAATACTTTTCATCTCCCACATTAAGAGGAAAAGACGATGACTGGGAGGAAGAAGCTTTAGCCCTGCAGTAAATCTGGCTCAGGCCTGTGGGATGGTGGTAAAAGGAAATGGCATGACCTATAATGGGGGTTTGTGTGTTTGAGAGCTGTGTGTATGAAGTTTATGGATGTGCATGATTACCATCAGGGTAATATTGCTGGTTTATGGGCTCGCTGGAGCTCTGAGTGTGTCCATACTGCTCTCCGTAGAACTCGTCTTGTCCCATGTACTGCTGTGCAGATCCTGCAAGACAGGCGACACCACGATTGATTAAACAATTGGTTGAACCGGTTGGCTGCTGAGTTGGAGACTAAAGGGGCTGTGCCAGGACACTTGGGTCATTGAGATAGCCTGAAGAGTGTGTGTGTGTGTGTGTGTGTGTGTGTGTGTGTGTGAGAGAGAATATGTGTGTATTAAGGATAATGAAAGACACAAAGCAAAGATTATAACAGATGCTGTCATTTAGTTATGAGGTTATTATTATGGTTATGAACAGTGTAAAGTAACATGTGAATTTGAATTTTGAACTTAAGTTTAACTAATACACTGTAGAATTTCAATGGTGATGATTTTCGAGAGGTTGAAATAATAATATGAAGGAAGCTATTCAGGGCCAACCCACATATTGGAAACAGTAATTAAAGTGGGGCAATTGCAAAGTATAATTCCATGACAAATTATATGAGATGAAATTTTTGGGGAGAAAATGAGAAAGCCAGTTATCAGGGAGAATCTGATCTCTGCCTGGTGGTGGTGTGCAGAAACTCCAGATTCCACTCCTTGCCTTTACCTATCAATTTTATCTAACAAACTCAGAAAACCAACAGAACATAAAGAGCCTTGCACAGTCTAGTCTCCTTTGCAAACCACAATTGACAAGTTTCTTAATACAGAGATGAACTGTAGCATAAAAAACATTTTCATCTTAATTTCTGCAACAATAGCCAAACATTTTCATAGCAACATGTCTGTCAACTCCTAACATGCCCAAGAAGCCACAATTGATATATGGGCCCATAGCAACAGCCTCATGACCAATGACTGGTGAGCGTGTCACCCGACTTAACTATAGACACAACAACTCTATAATACAGTTCTGTCTGGAAATATTTCACCCAGTCATGCAAGTATAATAGTGTACAGAGTGGATGAGGACTTACAACCATGGCCTGTTGCCCTGGAAACAGTATCCCATCCTTCTTACATATCTGAGTTACGTGCCTAGTCTACACCCTTCAAAAGACATAACAGGACATGTTGGAGCTATTATTAGGCACATGCTGACACAGCACAAGTTAAGTGATTTACAGAGACAGTTATCTAATGTAACACAACTGATATATCTCCAGTCTCTTTCTTAAAGTTGGAAGTCTGGGATGGACTAATTTGCAGACCTACCGCTCCCAGTTTATGATATTTGTAAGCAAGAACTAATACAATGCATGCACTAAAATGTGAGGCAATTCCATCAGTCTGGAAAATGTGACACTGTCATCCAGAGCCTCACTTAAATGGAAACCCGGTGACCATTTCAGTCCAGACAGTTCCAAGATCTACTCACACATTCATCTATGTATTTTAGCACACAAACAAATTCACTGAGCACATTGCCACAACAAACTAGTATGAAGAAGTCTTACCACCTACCTTGTTGTGAGGAGCGGTAGGATCCCATGGGCCTCTGAGACATCATACTGTTTCCTTGACTGCCCTGACCCATCATGCCCATGGCCTGCTGTCCCTGATAATGTTGGCCCCCAGCCTGGGCTGAGGAGTAGTGTGGAGTGGCAGATTGTTGGTGCATCATGGTGACTGGAAAGGAGGTGGGATTATGAAGGGGGGGGGGAGAGATCTCAAACATTAATATACACAGACTCACTCAATGCACATACCGGGATTAGCATACACAGCATTCTCAGAACTCAGACAGAAATGTGCATAATTAAACTGACAAATAAACAAATGTAGAAAGAAGTCCATGGCAACAGGGGCACAAGGTAATGCCAAAATGGTTCCATAGCAGTCAGAGGTCTGTTAAAGAAAAAATCTCTTTGAAGAGATGCTTTAAAGATACTGCTCTGAAATATATATGTAAACAAAGCCAGTGGTCAGTGCATAAACAGAGGTACACTAAATCCACATCAACATCCAAGGAAGGGAGGGCTGCATTTCAGGGTCAGGAGTCAGAGATTAGGAGAGATAAAGCCTGGAGCAGAAAGAAGAAGGGAGGAGGCAGGACACCCCTCTGATGAACTGAATGTGTTTGCTTATATTGATGATTACACTGGACTAGGAGGGAATTTAAAAACTGATGAATGCAGATTTGCACGTGAGCAAATGTTTTAAGCAAGATCAAGTTAGCGTCTTTCATGATAACATTCAGAGGTAATTCAGAAATCAACTATTTACCATATGCTTTCTAGCTCACCCTAAACACTTAAAACACTATTACTTTCATCACTCCCTTCCTCTGAGTGCCAAACCTTGCTCAAATAACAAAATAGAAACAAATGAGGAATCTTGCATCTTTAGCATAGTGACTGATAATTAAGTGTTTTGGTGTGTCCAGTTCATTTGCCTGCAAGTATTCCTTTCCATAAAAATGGACCAATTCCCGATGATTAGGCTCCTCTACACCTGGCTCACCTTGGTTTGACTGCATGTTGAGGTTGCTGCGGGAGGAGGAGGAAGAAGAGGAGGATGTGGAGGAAGAAGAGGAAGAGCCATAGCCAGGCCCTGGGCCCTGGATCATGCTACCCTGGGAGGAGGGCAAGGCGTGGCTGTAACCGGAGGCTGAAGCTGAGCTACCGTAGCTGCTGGCAGGCAGGCTGAGGGATGCGGAGGGAATAGCCGAGTGCACCTGACCAGACTGCTGCTGCATGGGGGCATGGCTGGGGCCTGACGACACACACGCACAGTCAGAGCAGCCAGCACGTGTTCCCATGTGGTGCCATAGCATGCCAATCATGGGCCCACATTCAGTTCATCTTAACAGGAAGCTTGCATGGTTGTACAAGGAGTGAGTAATGAGTGTTTATGGTGTGTGTAGAAAGGAATTAGAAACAGAAAGAAAGAAAAAGTTGCGATGGCTGCAAACAAATCTGACAATCAGACCATAGTTGAACATAAGGCCACAGAAACTTGCAGGAGACAATAAATAAGACAAAACTTGGTTTTATATCGGCAGCACAAACATGCAGCAAAGTCAGGATCAGACGAGCACTCAAGACAAGGGATGGACAAATGGAGCTTGTTAGCACACCACGTCTGGGTTTGTGTAGAAAATAAAGTTCATGTGGGCCAGAGTTTATCTGTAAAATGCCCATCTCTGTTAACATCTCACCATTGCTCATTTGGCTCTGCATCATAGACGCGGGGGGCAGTCCTGGTGCTATGTTATCATTGAGGTTGCTTGGAGCATGTCCCCCACTCTGGCCCATCCCTCCAGGACCCATGGACATGTTGGGAGTAGGAGGCTAGAAAGTAAAAAATACAGTAAATCAATTAAAATAATAATTGAAAGCATTCTAATTGCTGCCTTTCAAGTCCTCATGCCTCTATTTTATATTGATGTGAATGTCTACTTCTGTGCCATATAGAATAACTTTAGTCTACCCAAAGAATATGTTTTCAAAATGGATTTATTATGAATATTTACATTTAAAAAAAGAGAGAAGGTGAGGGAAGTGATGGGACAGCAGGAGTAGAATAAATCTGATGAAGATGAGAAAACTACTCTGTTACTTGTCCCTGAAACCTCACGAAGGACTCACTGCAGGTAGTAGTGACTGCATGTTCTGATTGGAGTCTGCTATTGTGGCCAAGTAAACAAGATTTCTGTGCAGGATCTGCTGATACCTGTCAAAAAGGGGAAATAAAACATAGCTTTATTTATTCACTTTTGCTGTAATAAGACATTTACAAGGCATCAGTCAGAGATACAAAAAAAGAGAACACTTACTGTGTGCACTCAGCTGTCTTGCCTTTGCTTTGGTAATCCATTATACATTGTATTAAATGATGATTTTCATCCAGCATCTTTGAGAGACAACCAAAAAACTTCAGCTCAAATTATCTCAAGTCACAGTGCATGGTGTATTAGACACTACAATAGGCTCTTTTAAGACATTGCAGTGACGTCCTGTATTCTCAGAACATGTTTTCTGGGTCAGTTTTTTCATAATGGGGCCAAATGAAGCAGAAGCCTCTCACAGTCTTTATTTAGGACATAGTTTGAAAATCCCTGTCTTAGGATAGGTTGCTTTTTTTTTTTTTTTATAACCAACATCCTCATAAACTGTTCAGTCAAGGATGAAAGCATCGGCAGTCTGAGGAGAACAGTGCTCAGGGTTGTCATGTGTTGCCGAGTTTCCCTCCATCTACCATGGCTCTTTCTCAGTGGATGCTCATAGGCTATATGTTTGTGCAACAACGCGGGTGTCCATAATAAACATTAAAACGTAATGGGGCGCTGCCTGCACCTACAACTAATAAACCCCTGTAATGGCGTTCTCCTTTTTAAAAAATCTTGGAAACTATTACTAAATGTAAAGCCGATATCTACATTTCACGTGCATAAACAATATTCATCATTCGTCAGGAAGAAGCAGCGACAATGACAGCATCACTAGGAAACAGCTCCAGCCAGTGTTGAGCATGTAAAAGCGGTCGCCTACATCACCCGTCATGGCTTTGTTTGGTTCGCACCTTCAGATGACTGTAACGTTACAATACCAGTTGCCATTTATTCTGCTATTCACCACAGGTTACTTTCTCTGCACTGGCTGAGAACCGCACACTCCCATCTAGACTAGAATGTTTAAACGCAGCGACGCATCAAGATTTCTTACCTTTTGAATCGTTTGCTGTGTCACCTCCCCTTTACTCCTGGGGCGCGCCGATGAAAATGCCACCGACATTTTAACATATGGGAAATAAAAGAGCTTCTTTTATTCTAATATTTATTATCTTGAGCGCAGCCCTCTATTTGGTTACATAGTTTATCCATTACCAAGAAACGGGGGTATTGACACTGCGCTTTGGTCCATAAAGGAAGACAAATAAGAAAATACCTAATTTCTCTTTGTGTAATTAAACGTGGGTTCTTGGTGAAAGTAGGCTCATCATTTATGGCCTACATGCAATTAATGACATGGATAATCAACTTTGACATGAAAGGGGAAATCCCTCAGTTTTTGGTACAACCCAGACAGTGAGTAGCCTACCACTTTCTCTCGCTGTAAACCGGGTATCCTTTGATTCATGACAGCCAATCACTCCACACGCTGCTCGGTGAGCAAAATAACAGGAGGAGCAGTTGTGAAAGTTGTTTTTGGCACCGTCAGGGGGAAAAAAAAATTAAAACTAATGTTTAAATTGTTATTCAACGTGCTGCAACACCTTAGATAAGTCGCGTGCAGCCTTGCCTGTAACCTCGGGAGGAAATGCTCGGCGTCTCAGCTCACCTGACGTCCATATTTGTAACAATATCGCCATGCACATCAGGTGCACACGACACATCTAAAAGGTGTTGCAGCATATTGAAGAAAAACACGTGCTCTTTAAGACAATGAGTAATATCCATAAAACACTGATACTGGCCAACAATAAGGCTAATCTACACATTAGGATGGCCATCATCAGCAATTCCCAGTTTATTTATATCAATCTGGCTTGATGCTTCAATACCACAGAATAAAGCAGTGAACACGATTTCACCTTTTTTTTTTTTTAAACATACATTTAGGTTTAGTTCATTTCATGTTGATAATATTTACAACATTTGTTCATGACAAGTGTACAAATTATGATGAGTACCTTCGCCCAAGAGGCAAAGCCAGGTACTTTAAATATGAAACAAATACATTTTTGGAGCAGAATTCTTCCAAGTAGCAGAAAACAAAACAGAAGCTTAACATTCACTTCCTATGTAATTGAAAAAAAAATAAAAAAATAAGTCAGTGGACCATTTAGTGAGCCATGCATCTAAACTCAAAATGTGGCCAAACATAATCCTGGCAATATGGGGTTAGGACAACTGCCTTAGGGAGAGTGACTAAAGAAAGGATCCTTCTTCATACAGCACCAACAGAGCGGCTTTTGCGGATCTTAATCTTCATTATGGGTAACACACAATATCCCCATTTGTTATACATAAGAAGTACTGTAAGAAGAAAGAGTGCCCCGTCCTCTTCGTCCAGTATATCCACCTCTGAAGCCTTGGCCCCTCAGGAACCGTCCAGGGACCCCAAATGTCTCCAGATTGCGCTTCCGCTCCTCTGCCCATGTTAGCCTGAAATCGTTGGTTGACACAGAAAGAGGCACAAGCCTGTAAACCTCTAGCTCTAAATACAGGAGAAACTAGTATTTGAATATTCAGGATCACACATACCACCCCCCCCACCTGAACTTCTTATCAGAAGAGATGTTGTCAAAGAAAGACTTCGTTTTGTCATAGTAGCATTTTGGTCCAAAGTGATCATCCTCTGCAGTCGACTGCAGTTCCTTTTTTTCTTTCGCTACCTCATGATTTCCATCTGCAGACAAACATGCAAGTTGGTTTTTGAAGTCTCACTTGACCTATTCCCGATTTCAAGCTTATTTATAGATTACAAGCACATGCCAAAATGGAAACAGTCATTGCACACGTGTATTAAGACAGATAACATGAAGTCATGAAAAAGTGCAGTCATGCCACTATGGTGAACAATTCCAAGATAGACTGACTATCTTGCTACTGCTGACAATTTAGTGGATTTAGAGATTACCTGCAGAGTAGGCTATAGTTAACTTTTAGTATGATATAGTGAGATTTAAAGAAAGTGTGGGCCTTAAGTGTCATTTAATTTAGTTAAAACAATTCAGAAGATGAAAAGGGTGCATTTGTGGTCACGAGCTGATGAACTAACCTTTCACATTCATCCTGTCCTGCACCTCCCTCTCCAGCTCCTCCTTAATAAACTGTGCATTTGAGGAATCAAAATCAAAGTCTGTGTCAAACTTAAGGATGGCAGATGGAACATTCGCCACCAACAGCTGGCCTCTATTACGGTTTCTGCGTCTCCGCGCTCCTAAAAGGAATAAAAAATAAATAAAAAAACCACACAAACACAACAACCCAAACATTGAATTTGAGAACTTGTTATTTATATTCAGAAAAAGATATTCAGTTTTAAAAACCTGAATGTTTCACAATTACCTTTTCTTCTGGGTGGTGACCTGTTTTCATTATTCTGCTGCCAAGTGTCCTGCCGAGCACTATGCACAGTTGGGGCTGACCTCACTTTAAATTTAAAGACATTTACACGTAATCATGATTGACTTCAATTGCAAAGATGGATAAAAGTAGGACTCCCTGGACCATTCCAAACAGTTTGTGAAGTGTTTCAAGACTGTTAAAGCACTTTCAGATTTTTGCCTATCATTGTAATTCTATGCTTACTGGTGGCTCCAGTGCCCCTTCTGCCCTGCAAACTCCCTCCTCTGGTCCTCTGGGGCCTCCTTCTCTCCCATTGCTGCTCCCTCTCCCAGGATGCAGTCAAACCTCTCCTCTGGCCAGATATTTCCACATGGAGGGTTTGAACAGCCTTCTCCACCATGGGCCCCTTTCTAACATTTAGGCCTGGAAGTATAGGCCCTGTTTGAAGAACACAACCAAATACTACTGTATGAAAACAACCTACATCAAAAGTATCCTGCTACACTAAGGGTATGGGTTTATGGTCCATTTACTAGACACAAATATGTTCAACTTACCAAGGCCAAGAGCTGCAGCATACTGTTGGTTAAGTAGAGAGCTGGCAGCTAGCTGGTTGTAGGCAGGTATTTTTACTGGGCTAAGTGATCCACCATGAGCGGAGTAGATTCCTGAAGAGCCTGCACTGGATGACTGAACAAGAGGCATTTAAGCAAGTCCACACATTACCTAGGTCTTCATTTACTTTGTTCATTTTAGGTTCTCTAAAGTGGGGTGAGAACCATGCTGTTCTTGGGTACCTGTATTATTGCAGGATCTGGGGGTAGGCCATGGTGAGATCTTGGAGGTTCACACAGCGTGATATCCTTAATATCATTTCCCCGGAAAGTGATGTACTCATAGATATCATCTTTAGGTGGTGTTGGTCTGTCAGCGGGTCGTCCCTCCGTTCCAAAACATTTGACTAGTCGAAATAAAATGTTTGATGAAGCTAACAGAGTGGCACTCACTTTTCTTGTCTACAAACAACTTAGCAAAAAGCACCTTGGCTATTTTTGGACATGCATAAGCCTATAGCCTACCACTCACCTTTTGCCAGCACCACTGTGGAGTTCACTTTATCAATTGTATACAAAATCCCCTCATAGCGATTTTGGGCTTTTGAAATTAACCCTATTTTACAGCCAATGTAGGGCTTTGCTGAACTCATGGCTAGAAAATATTCAGGACAATTGTGTATAAAAACTAGCGACCAGAAACAATTTATAAAAGTCCTCAGGTGACTTTAAACCACGCCCACTAATTGAGGCCTAAACGCACCTGGCAATGAAACTTGTGTCATTAGTGATGTGTCAGTTGGAACAGTGTTGATATAGGACACGCCCATTTTCATTGGTAGGGTGAAGACTTCCTGATCATCAGAATGACAGAATATTTCAATGTATTGCAGATGAAGAATCTTGCATAGCCTAATTATTTCCTGCAACAAATAATAATGCTGCCTAACGTAAGCCGTAGGCTACTAAATAAAGAACCGTTTGGGAGCCGAAAGAGCGTCTTAGAAAGGGACATCCAGCTCTCTTCAAAGAGCCGTAAATCCCATCACTATCTTGTCATCCCTGTGCTAAACGTATCATTTATGACTCATGATGTCTGATATTTAGCACAACTGACAGTTATGACTATGTGTAACATTTATTTGGACAGTGTGCGTGTATGATAGGCTGCTTAGAAATTATTCTCCGCGTCATGAAGCCCGAGTAGTAAAACAACTAGGCTTATGTAAGATGGTAACTGTTTATCTGCGCTCTAAACTTTAAGATCCAGACAGCATCACTTTGTGAGCGCTGAGGCAGTTGCTGCGGGTCTCCTGGAAAAAATAGCAACAACGCAGCCATTTTGAGTCGTCAACGATAAAGCCAAATGGATTCAAAATGCTTGGATACTGTGCATACACCTGCAAATACATGTTGTACAACACATACACTCTCTCAGAGACTCTTCTCGATGTGATAAAGTCTCACCAAGAGCAGCTCTGTGCTTGGCATCGGTGTTATCCCGTTTAATACCCAGACAGCGGTGACTCTCTCTACACTGCAGGTCGCAACCATTTGTTCCAACATTTATTTTCTTCGAGGAACCAATCACAGCGCCTGATGAGGTCGCGTCACAAGGGATGCAGCCAATCGGCGCATGCGTCTCACGAACGAGCGTAGCTGGGCAAAGATGGCGGCGGGCTCCGATTTGCTGGATGATGTTTTCTTCAACACAGAGGTGGACGAAAAAGTAGTTAGTGATCTAGTCGGATCTCTGGAGTCTGAGCTAACAGAAGCAGGTCGTGTCAACACAACGGCCAGGGTCCAGTCTGCAGCAAATCATACTGGCAACTTAGCTGAAGGTAGTAATTCCAATGTTCAGGGCAGCAAAATTGGACTTTCACAACAAGAGCTTGCTAAAGCAGGTAAGATAGCTGCCCACTTCGGTTAGCTAACATTAGCTTATTTTGGTCACGTTGTTCAAATTATTATAGCTAACTTGGCTTCACTTGTGTGTTTTCCGAAACTAATGCGAATCGGAGAGTTGTTCGACACCCCCCCTTGTTTTCATGTGTTTCCGCTGCTTCAGGGACAGGAGTGCAAGGAGGTGTCATTAACAGTACGGGGTCCCACGGTTCAAGCATGGATGGAGCAGCCGGGACCACATCGGCGGCGGGACCGAGCTTGACAGCCGCTCAGAGTCAGTCCAAGCCGGGGACAGTTAGCGGAGTCGTTACGATAGTATCAGATGCAACATCTGGTGTCGGAAAACCTGGGACTACTGGTGTTCAAACTTTGAATGGAAGTGCCGTGGTGATGAACTGTCACATCCCCGGAGTTGTGTCTGCTGACGGCAGCAACAACTCACAGCCCGCCGTCACGCATGTCAACAACGGACCTGTTTCTGTGAGCAAAGCAGGCGCAGCGGTTTCGTCTGCAGCCCCGTGTACTATCATTAGAACTTCTTCGGCTGTGATTTCGTCTCAGCCCTCTGTGAAAACTGTTCCCACAGTCACGCTTGTGAGGCCACCTATGCAAAGTCCCACTAACGCCTCACAAAGCAACTTAACGGCAGTTTTAACATCACCCGCCGTCAGTGTTAGCAGCACGGCGGACTCTCATGTCAACAAATTCGACTCCACAAAAACTATAATTCAGACTAGTGGACACGTCGTGGCTACAACTGTTGCGACAGGGACAACAGCGACCATGAGGAGCCCGACTGTTCTGCAAAACTTGAGGACCTCAGTGCCGTCAGCAATTGCTGCGACTCCTGCAGGTGGAATACGAGCCATTGCTCCACAGGTGTTGGCCCCTCGACTCACTCAGCCTCAACAAAACGCCCCAAATATCCAAAACATTCAGCTCCCTCCAGGTAACTTAGTGTAAAGTTAACTGTTTTGGAAGTTTTCTGCAACAAGTTGGATATGAAAACAGTGAAGTGGCTTTGTCAGACACTGTCAAACACAAATGCACCTTTGTTTTATTTGTACAAGATTCTTAGCTGGTCTTGTGTGAGTAAGCAAGAAATGGTTTGAGACATTGTAGTAAGCAGAGATGACACAGAATCGATTGTCTTTTGAGGCCACAAATAACAGATTAGAGGTGCACAAGGTTCTAACTGCAGACCAGATTAAAAGCCTTGAGGGAAGTCAGCCAAGGTATTCCTCCTATATATCAAAAAAGCATTCTGTTGCAATCTATTGATTCTTACCAGTTTGTCTGACAATAGCAGACTGTTCTCATATCAACAGCTATTTACTGTGTATCTCTAAGTATCTATCCTGTGTGTGTGTGTGTTTTACACAGTTTGCAAAAGCTAACTATAAGACTGTCTCTGACCTCAGATATTTCTCCCAAGGTTTGCATTGACATTATTTTAAATTAACCCTCAGTGGCAATTATTAAAGGGATAATTTCCAATTTTCGTTGGCATAAGTCAGTAGGAGTTGTTCAGATATATCAATACATGGGTATGAGCTCTGGTTGGGAGTCCTGTGTTTAGAGCTATCCCAGCCAGAGAGCATCTGGTCAGACCAAAATAAACTACAACAAAAAGAGCATTTTCTTACAACTCAGCACAATTTTGTTTTGCTTTTGCTGCTTAATTCTTCGGCCTCTCTTTGTCATAGTCACCAGTTTGATGGAGAATAGGCAGGCTATAACACCAGGCTCCTGTGCATAGTAATACACTTGCCCACAATAAAGGATCAGGGGAAATAATTTATTTATTTTACTTTGTTGTTGTTTGTGTTGTGGTTTGAAATGTTTTTGATTTATGGCCCCATGTCTGTTGCTCATTTTTGTTGTTGACGGGTTGCTGAGTGGCTAGATATCTCTGAAAATAGACTGCCCAGCTGAGGTAATATCCATGCATCGATAGACATACATATGAGTAGTTAATCCACCCTCATGGCACAAACTATATGCATACATAGAATATACTGGTGACAGAAAGGCCCTGGCTTTTGACATGTTAACCCCGCTGACATTTGCCTCTTGTAGGCATGGTTTTGGTTCGCAGTGAGAGTGGGCAGCTGCTGATGATTCACCAGCAGACCTTGGCTCAGATGCAGGCCCAGTCACAGTCCCAGAGCGCCATGACACCACGACCTGCAGCCCCTACCGGCACTCCACCTGTCCAGATTACTTCTCTACAGGTACAAGTCACAGAAATCATGACTCATGCGTGTTAGGTGGTGACGCATAGATCTGATATACTGGATCAGTGTTTATGTGGAAAATGACCTTATTAAACAGATCAAGTAATAGCCTGATCTCATTGGTGCACTTTAAATACTGTTTCCTATTCACTGTTATATTTATATTATAACAGCACACTTGGGTAAACTCCTTTAGAACAATATTATTAAAATTAACACAAGCTTTAAAATAATGTTGGTTTATAAACATACATTACTTCACGTATAGTTAAGAAGTGAGGTGCAGTTACAACCTCATATTACATTGCACCCAGAAAGATGATCCCAATCAGTTCCACACTGGGTATACAGAAAAAGAACTGAAAAAGAAAAACTTGATACTCGATATCGGTAGTAGATAGTAGTACGTAGTAGAAGTTCTACAATGCAGCCTGATTTAATTACATTTTGGTTACTGGTTTCATATGCACACTCTGCTTGCATGGTTAATGACCTATTCTCAGAGTAGACTGATTTAATTTAGCTTGTGTGGAGTTTCTGTGTGGAACTTCAAAATGAGTAAAGAAAATAAAAGAAACAGGGACTCTTTAGTGAAATATCCCCTCCCCCTTATATCCCCGACCGTTCTGCAGGCTCCAGGAGCGTCACTGTTGGCTCGTCCGGTTACCCCCACCACCATTATTAAACAAGGTTCAACAGTCCAGACCACTGTGACGGCCACCACCACACTGCAGAGGCCCCCTGTGCTGCAGGTAAATGTCCCTTTTTGGTGTTTAATTCCATGAGCAGGTTGTAAAGTTACCCAGCACCATATGCCATTAAAGGTTGTCAGGTCATTCATCACAAAGAATGGTTAACTGATTTGGAAGACTCCATTCCATGACAGGAAATCTGGTTTGTGCAGACACTGAACACTGTAACTATTCAGCAAATTAAAGCAAATTAGAGCTGCAACGATTAGTCGATCAGTCGATTAGTTGATCAAAAAAAAAATTATCGACAAAGATTTTGATAATCGATTAATAATTTCAGCCATTTTTTAAAGCAAAATGTGAAACATTTTCTGGTTTCATCTTTTTAAATATGAGGAATTGCTGCTATTCTTTGTTATTTATAAAAGTTAGTTTTGGGCTGTTGGTTGGACAAAAAAGGCGATTTGAAGACATCATTTGGCTCTATAATCGATTAATAATCGGCAGATTAGTAAATAATGAAAATAATCGTTAGCTGCAGCCCTAAAGCAAACCCTTTTCTCTGTGTGAAACACGCTGTTGATTGGCTACATTGTTGAGAGCAATCCATTTGGGCTTCAGTTCAGCCGCAAACATAAAAAAACGTTTTCACAGTGTCAGAATATGTTTTTTTTCCCCTACCAGCAGTATGGCAGGCAGATAAAACTTCTCCTGTGCAGAGAGACCGATGACACTAATGGCATCAACATCAAAAATGACCCCCTGCTCTCTCTTGCTCGCATCACTCTTGACATAAAGTGCGGCCTTCATGACCTTGTCAAAACCCAACCAGTCAAGGTGTTCCCCTTTTTCCAAAGTCCATTTTTTTAACTACTACTACCACCACTAAGCTCACACAGCTAACCTCCAATTTTTGCTTCAGTCATTGTGGTCTGGCGTCGCTCAAAAGACATTTGCTGTGGCTGGGATTCCCAACAATATGCACATTGTCCACCTGCTGGGAACAGCTCTTCAGCTCTCCTAAATCCTGGAGAAGTAGGAGTCTTAGAGTGAGAGTGTTAATGTAAGGCTTTTAGTTCTGCCTGAAGTAGGGCTAAATGCACCTCTCTTGGACTAGTTAGGATTGATTTCCTACTCTGATATGCTTGATTAAAAAAAGGTCCCCCAACCCATTTCATAAGTTGTATGGCCATCTTGTTCAGCCTAATAACGAGGTTTTGCATTAAGGCCAGCACATTTTGTTTTCATTTTTGTGTGTATTCTCTGGGTGGCCTATTTGTTTGCTCACTCTGAAAACCTTGCTGGCTGTGTTAATCTTTCTTGTGAGATTGTTCAGGTTGCCATGGAATTTCTCTTAAAGGTTAATACATTTAATACTCGAAACTTCATTAACAGGTTTTCACTTTCTGGTTGTCTAATACCTAATTTAGAGGTAGAAGAAAGAATAGTTAAGCTCCCATGAGCTCGTTT